ATTCTTGTTAACTTGTACATAATTTAAATTTCAATTAATTAAAATTTAGTGCTACTTAGAGACACTACTATATATTTAAACTAATATATGATTTATTCTACTTTTGTTAACTATATTTTTTAATTTCTTATATTAAAATATTTCATATTGAATGTGTTTTCATTTTTCATTATTTTGATCTTGTTTCAAATTCTCACCAAAGGGTTGTTTCAACACAGTTCTAACACACTTTTAAGCTATAAGAGAATTTTGCAGTTGATTTTAATATATTATGTAAGCAAATTTTATATTACACAGATGTATTAACTCAGAATAATTTGGTTTAAAGGCATATTGAAACAAAATCTTAATATTATCAGTCTTGTTCCTTATTTATCCCCAGAAAATATGATTACCATAAATTTGTCTCGAATTTAGGTAGAGATGAAAAAAAATGTATACATATATTTGCCTATGACTTAATCTTTTTTTTAAGTGCTACAATATACTTGAAAAGTATAAAAATAGTTTCTTTCGCAGAACTATATTTTTGTCTACACGCATTGATGCTTTAAAATATTTTGTGTAATCGTGTTATAATACATTTTAAAGAAAAATGCTGTAATTCGTAAGATATTTCAATTTTTGATAAAGTAATGAAAGTATGGAAATAAATTGAAGAGTATGCCTATGGCAAAATCGTGTTTTATATTTTTATGTTATTACTTAAAATTAGACGTAAAATTCTAGAAACAACATTTATAGATAGAATATACTCTAATGCAATGAATACACGACAATGTGTTTCGATATTCAGCAAAGAAAATTACATATGCAAATAATATATATATAGCTATATATATATATTAAATAAATAAATATATTTCCTACTGAAAGTTGACTATGACATTATTCGTACGCATTTTGGCGGAATAAAAGAAGATGATAAAATCATTAAGTTCTATCAATTATCAAAAAGATTCTGACTTCCACAAATTTCTGTTTATGCAAAAAAGGAAAAAAGAAAAGAAAGAATGAAAAATTATACTTTGACATAAAATTAATTGGAATTAAAATTCTTGCTGTAAGATACATTTGAAAAAAGATATAGTATTTTTCAATTTTATGCTCATTGATCACTTTTTTATATTTTATTAATTCATTATGAACACTGATATTTGTCAGATTATTATTATGCACTGTTTGCTTTATCTAAAGATTGTAAAAGAGCAAAGAATACAAAAATTTCTTTTAGACTCTCATAAGAATGTACTCTTCTATTCTTGTTGAAATTGTCTTGTATATAATGAGTCACTACAAAAATGTCTTCTTTATTGTTTCCTTTATGTGTAATCAGTTCCACACGCTCAAATTAATGGGACAAAACACATCCCATTTAGCATGTATTTGTATATCTTAAAAATAATAAGTAATAATAGATAATCGTAATATTACACTAGAGTTTTCTCTGCACATTTCAATCTGTTTCTCATCGTTATCATAATACTTAACAATTTCCATTCATTTTCTATTTCATATAGTACTACATATCACGTGGCCTATATTCATCGACTAAAGGAAAAAATTTTTAATTTAAACTAATTTTAAGCGCTTCCAAATGTATAATATAACAATAATTAAAATTTATAACAATACACTCGAGTATTCCCTTAATTAACACAAACTTTGCCGAGATTTAACACAACAATAAAGAAGGGAAGGTAAGTGTCGCAAAGAACTTAAACATACGATTGCACATAATTTGTCACTAATGTCATGTGTCATTTACATGATTAATAAAAATATAAGTTGCGCATGATAGAAAGACTGAGATAAACATTTTAAACATTAAAAAATGAATATAATAGGCCACGTATTGAATTACTCTCGTAAAAAAACGAAAAGATGTAATATATATGAGCTCCTATTTATATATAAATATTACATTACTTATTAATATGAACATGGCTCAATGTATACGCAAGCTGACCTATAAACCACAGATCAATGATTAGTAATAGATTCAAGCGCAAAGTACATTTAGCAGTTTTTAAGTTCAATGCCTTTTGATAAATATACAAGCAAATACTTAAATAGAGCAATGTTTTCAGAATAAAACAAAAAATCAAACATTTAGTTTATTATAATTTTCAAAAATTTGGAAACTTCAGGCATTACAAGAGGAGCCAATCTTTTGAGTGTTGTGATAAAAATGATAACTCCAAATTTAATCATAAATAACAAAAAAATTAAATCTTATGTCTAATTTATATTTCTTCTGAGTTTATGTAATAGTATTAATATTATTATTAATTGCTGTCTCTTGTCTAATGCACTTTGCGGAATCTTTCATTAAATTATTTCACAATTTATAAAACGTTCTGTATGTCATTCTGTATGTAGCAAAGTCAAATGTAAATACAGATCGCTTTAATTTATAAGTTGTGACAATACAATTTAATAATTAATATTAAATTCGCATATATGCTTACACACGCATACTTGTACTGGCAGTGAGCATAGTTCCTCTAAATACTCTGGCATAATGGAGTTCTTATCAGTGTTTGGTACTCTTTTTCTTGCCGGTTCCACTCTCATAGCGGAAACTATAATGTTTATACTCCAGTAAGGTTTGTTTCACTGAAACCAAGCCTCTTAACGTGGTCAATACTACTCATTGGCAATTAAATATACGCATATAATATTAATTTTTATATTTTCTTTTTCTTAAGATTGTCGAATCGTCGATTCGACCCGACGCTTTTGTACTTGAAATTAGTGTGCTTCGGCAATTATATTTTTGGATCTCGAAAGTTTAATGAAACAAATAGTTCAATCATTTGCTATAGCTTTCTCGTGATATACATTAAGACCTTTTACACAAATAACTTTCGTTTTAAAATGAATCTAATTTCTTACAGATAACTGATTATACAGTATTATCGAACAATGTTGAAATGGACCTTTATGCAATTAATATCGATGAACTATATATAACGTACATAAATCCGAGTTTCGTTGTGCGAAGTTTCTAAAATAAACTAATTACTTCAAAAAATATCAACGTGATCCGACTTTTTTACAATTATTACAAGATTAAATACGATTTTCCATTTATGTGACAGCAAACTAGCGCCATCTTCGTCTGGAATTAAAAATAACTATTTTTCAAATTAAAAGTGTATATTAAGCAATATCTTTAGTATTTATCATTTGCATATTTTGTTTAAACAAACGATAGAAGACTAACGACAACAAAATTGAGCAATAACATATTTTAATATCACCTATATCATATCGTATTAATAAATTTAATTAATAAATTGTGAATTTGTTATAGAAAGAAACTTTTTTTTTTTAATTGGCGTCAGTCTTGTCAGTTTGGGCAAGAAATTGGGATCTTCAATCTTCGCATAAATATTAGACAGGAAACCTTATAATATATAAAACGCATACAACATTTAATTTCTATGAAAAAAAAAAAATAAATTATTTAGGCTTCACTTAGGCTTCGAAAATAATCGACAATTGTTTATTTTAAATCTTTAAAATTTCGGATGAAGTTTTGTCATAATTTTTTGTTTTTCTTTGCCAATATAAAACATGGAATAATTTACTTAAATTCATTAATTCGAAATTTAAATTGTTTTAAAAAAAAAAAAAAATACAAAGTAAAAAAATTAAAGTACTAATTTAAATATGAATATTCTTTGATTTGCGGTCGTTCCAAGCCTTCTATAACGATGATGCTAGTTGTGCCACGGTGATCCGTAATCTTCATTGCTTTTCATTAATTCATTATAATTTTATGATGTACATACATACATACATTTATAATATTACGCGTGAAATAAGGAAAATTACACTGAGCACGCCAGCTATAAATCGAAAGAAATAAAAAAATGCTTCTTTTTCCTTATAATATAACATTAAATATGTTGTCGAAAATAAAATAAGTTCATCTGACTTTAATAATTATGTAGCCCTCGAATTTATTAAGTTTAGTGTATATACAGCTAGAAATTGAAGTCCTGTTCACTGAATATTACTAATTCAAGTAATTAAGTAAAAGCACTAAATCATCAAAGATATTTCAAATAACTAATTTGCAATATAACAAGCTAATATTTTTTTTATACTCTTTGGCAGTTAACAAGTAATGCATGATATGCTGGCAAGCTCTAAGTGTGTTTATAACGTTTACCCTAAAACACGTGTACATAATTTTCAGAATCAGACGAATCCGCGAATTAATGAAGCCACTTTATCATACTCTTATCAGATTATTTTTCCAAATAGTAATATTATTAAACGTTGTACTATTAGTTCATTTGACGCTTGTAAGCATATTTTTCAGTACAATTTTCGACTTTCTTCAAACTTCCACTGCTTAAATTACAGAAAAAGTAAAAAAAGTTATTGTCAATATCCCTGTTAATGAAATATTTATCAACAATTGCTCAAATTAAATATAACTTCGTTAGAAAAATTATTTCAATGACTTTTTTTCTTTACATTCAATTTTTAAAATTACTTGAAAGTTTAAAGAAAACCTCTAAAAATCTAGAATGCATTTGACATGAAAAAAAGGAACTCAAATCATAATGAAATTTTATATATATGTTATTCTTGTAGCACAGAATTCTTTAATCAGTTAGCGATGGGCATTGAATTTTCATTTTCCTTTCAAATTTCTATTTTATTTGAATATCATATAAAACTTACAAATCTTAAAATTATTAAATTTATTGTAACACCATTGAAATATTTTATCATTGCATCAATAAAATTATTTATTAATCATATTTTTCATTTTTATATTTAAAAAATTCAAAATTTGTCAAGTTAAAAATTCAATAATTTGTCATAATTTCTAATATTAATGGTTTAAATTCTTCCAGCCCATCACTATTCTGGACATATACTCTAGTATTTTTCATACTTTTCCGCAAAACTCGGATTACGTCTCACCATATACGAAATTATCACTGGTTTATCATAAATGTATTTCAAACCCTCCACTATGATGCTTTTGCAAATTGAATAACAGAGTTTTGCCTTTGGGAAGCAATGAGACCATTTCTTTCACTTTCCATTGATTCTAAGATCATTTTGCATCGCTTTCTTGGAGGAAGGATTAATGTTTCTCGTACTGGAATCGCCAAATCGAGAGGATCCGGCGAAGGTACAGGACTTACAGGATTACTACTTGGAGGAGTTAGAATTGGTTCTCTGTCTACTCTCATTCCATATTCCCTTTGCCTTTCTTCTTCAACTGCTTCAAGTGCAGCTTCAACTCTTCTACGAGCATCATTTCCTGGTAAATTTAAAAGAGATGAACAGTCACCAACAAAATCATTACTCTGAATTCCAAAACTAGTATATGTAGAAGAAACTTCAGGATATAGAAATAAGTGAGGCTGTCCAATGGGAGCTATAGGTGTTGTTTGGAAGGTTCTCTCTTCACTAGGTACCAGAAGCGGTTGTGAATACTGCTCTCTGGAATACATATAGTAAGGAAACTCTCGTGGAGTGTCATCATAAGTAACACCATCATCGCTTGGCACTTCAGTCTTGTGATTCTCCTTGTCACTGGCAGTGCCTACGCTGTTTGCCTGTGAGATTTCAATTTCTGGCTCAACTGGTGAGTCTCGAGGAGAACCACTAACTGATGAATCTGAATGAGTTTTAATGTGTAATTCCATTGTTTTCTTTGAACCAAAAGTCTCATGACATAATGTACACTTGTAAACCTTTTCACCATAATGGGCAACCTAAAACATTTATTATATTATTATTATATAAGTTTAGAACCATAAGAAAAGATACTAAAATTGATAAATCACATCAAATAATTGCAGATGTAAATTATGTTTTACTTATATTTAAATAATGTTACGTTTTATTTAAATTAATCAATCTCTTTTGAACTTTAGAGATATTTGATAATAATGTTTAAAGAATTATTTTTGGCAAAATATTAATTTCAATGTATATGGAAATATATAACTTTTAAACTTTAATAAATTTTTTCTCACTTGACCTTTGAGAAATTGAATATACTGTATTGCTTATATTATTATAAAATAATATGAAATGTATCATTATATAATTTTTATTTGAAGTAACAATTGGTTCTATGTTATAAAGTTTAATATAAATATTAATGATATTAACAAGTCATATGAATAACACAAATGCGAAAAAATTTATATTACATAATGTATATTTTCTAAGAAGAAGTAAACAAACCTGATGTAACTTCAACACGTGATTATAACCAAAGGATTTGCCGCAAATGTCGCAAGTATACGGCTTTTCTCCAGTATGCGTGCGCGTATGAACCTTCAGTTGCTTTGAACAAGTGAATCCCTTCCCACATGCTTTGCAAACATACGGTTTTTCCCCAGTATGCGTACGCATGTGAATTACCAACTGTCCACTTTGAATGAATGTTTTCGAACAAACAGTACACTTATGTGGCCGTTCTCCAGTGTGAATCCGCATATGTCGATGCAATTTACCACTATGTTCAAATGCACGTTCGCACACATCACACTTGTAAGGCCGTTCTTTTGTATGTATACGACGATGCACGCTTAAATTTTCTTTTACGGAAAACGATTTACTACAATACTCGCATTGGTATGGTTTTTCACCAGTATGTGTACGATAATGTCTAGTCAGTCGTGCAGGTACCGCAAAAGTTTTCCCACAAATATTGCATCGGTAAGGATCTTCACCTTCTTTACCGTGCGAACGCAGGTGGCTCTGATATAAACTCTTCTGATCGAAGACTTTTTGACACAGCAAACACTGGTATGTCTTGTCCTCGACATTTGCCGACAGAGTCTCAGCACCACATGCCGGTGATGTGAACGCACTTAAATCTGGACTACAAACGAGACTTTTCACCGGATTCATTGGCTCCACAGTCGATACTTCGCTACTGACCGACATCGTTGTAGAATTTGTGATCCGTTTCGTTGAATAGTAACCCACCATTTTTCGTTGCGAGTGTATTAATCTAAAAATAATAGAGAAAAACGATCGTTGATGACAAAATTTGTAGAAAAATATTTGATTAAAACAATTAACTTTATTACAAATTCACAATAACTGATAAAGTTCATAAAATTCATAAAATTTACATTTAATTTAATGACTTCAAATGTAAAATTTACTATCTGAAAATATTAATATAGTTATATATTAAATAAATTGTTATCGTAATTATAATAAATCTTTATATTTTTCATCAAGAAATATTAGAATGAGAATTTTTGCAATTTTCATATTTTGAACAAACTGGACTATGATAATGAAACTGAAGAATAAAATAATATAATTTTAAAAATAATTGTATTTGAACTTCAATATTATAATATAAGTAAATTTAACGTTTAAATTCATTCGTAATAAACAGGAATAATATATTACAACAATGTTATACATCGTTTACCGCAAGTAACATTGACAGCATTTCAAGCTGTTACATAGCTTACTATATATACATTTTCTGCAGTTTAAAATTTACGAAGTATACGAAAAGATAATAAAACATATTATTACAAAACATACTTTTAAAAAATGCTAATAAATTAATTTTTCTACAAAAAATTTCTTAATATTCCAAAAAGCTCCGAATAATTCAAGAAAAAAGTCAACTAATTAATTAATAAAATACATAACAGATAGTTTTAAGCATTAAAATAGTAAGGATATACGTAAAAAGAATGTTTTAAGGAAAGACAGAAATTACATATTTTAAGTAATCTTCATCACTAAATTCCATTCGATATGAAAAAAAAACACAAAACTTGGAAAGTCATCGCGTTGAATTACCTGTAGAATAACAACAATAACAAGAAAACATTTATTTGTATTTTTGTAAGACTATTTTCATGAGGTAGATTGACATGAGGTAGGTAGAAAGACACGTTATCCTACGTGTGAACGCCAACTGTGTAAATGCCTTGATTATACGCCGATCTAAAACGTAAGGATAACACGGCTCCACTCCCCACCAAATGACTTTTTTTAAGTCTAAAAAAATGTTCACGAATAGTGTGACGCCCCATGCGTACACGCACGCGCACGCATCATGTACGCATACGCATCCTGCAACTTTAGCCTGCCCCTAATTCTACGGGGCCTATGATGAACCGTATATTATCGACGCACGAACCTGCTACACTCGGAATTTCTTATTTCTTTTTTCTTTGTTTAGAAGAAGACGAAGATTATTTAATTACTTACAATTAACAATTGACAAAAGATATTTTTTAACAATTTGATGCTTTACTTCAAAATGTATCACATATAATTTTAAATAATTTAATACATATATTTGTTTGTATGTTTGAAAAATGTAAAAGTAGCTATATTTTTAATTTGTTTTCATATTGTTATATAAAAAATTATTTATAAAATTTAAATATTCTGTTAATTTGATTTTTCATATATTTCATAAGAATAAGTAATAGTTATTGATAAGTATGTAATGGCACGAATTTATTAATTAGTTCTTAACAATAGAAGATTAATATTATTTTTTGTTATTACCTCTTTTATAGAAATTAGTATAAGATCCATCTGAAAAACTACTTGTTATTTGACTAAAAATCCTATATAAATTGGAAATATCATTTTGCTTAAATATTTTACTTAAAAATACTATAAAATTAATATAAAAAAGTCGTATGAACATTGTCCTAAATTATGTATTATCATTTTAAATTCAAACATGTAAAACTTTTAGAATCCATAAATGACTACTAATTTAAAAAAAGTACTAAGTTTAAATACAAATGGTTATTAAGTTTACAACTAGAAATTTATTTATTTAATTATACAATTCACAATCGATCTTTCAAAATAGAATATAATTTCATGAATCCCATATCATAACTTAAATTTCAATATGCTTTTTTTTTAAATTTATGCGATGAAATTATTTAGCTATTGTTATTACAGATATATCAAAGTAAAGCAATAGATTCTACAATAAACGTACTAAATTTGATCTTAATAAATATGCATATTAATTTTTTTTTTTTGATAAAATTAATCTAATATATTTATTTTAGAAAAAAAATTGACAAAAAATGGAAAAATAAAAAGTTTGTATTTTTAATCTGATAGGAAGTTTATTGAAGAAACCCGACATTGTTCGCATGTTCGTACGAGGTCGTCAGTTCAGAATAGGTTAAGGCTGGGTTAAACCTGCACGCGCGCCTCTCAATGAGGCAGTCGCTATGGTTGGCGGTGGTGCAATACCGCGCCGTGTCGCGGTAGAAACCGCTTGCCGCTGCCTCCACGTGTACTCGCCGCATTTTTTTATAGCGATCACCGACCTCGTGCAACTCGTCGCGCAGTAAGGACGTTGAGTTACATCACGAATCACAGCCACATATCACACCTCTCCTAAGTGAATCTATTGCAACCTTTCTTTCTCTTTTTCACATAGACGTCTACTTTGTTTTTCTTTTTTCCTTAATTTTACGACGATACTTTTAAAACACAGAAAATGTGATTGATCGTGGAAAACGACGCTACTAGCGCGACCGAAGTTTGCGGCCAAGGAGAAAACTATCAATTTCAGTGTCAGTAATTTCTTGCTTTTTTCTCACATTTTATTAAAATATTTTTTAATTTATTAATTTATTAAAATATTTTTCCGAAAATATTTTGAAGGAAAATTCGATTTAACACTAAATATTTATATTAATTTATTGATAAGAAGTCTATCATTTCATAAAAATGTAGATTAAACGTGTTAATGATATCTTTTTTACTGAAAAACTCCACATTGAATTTATAAATTTTGAAAAATTTAAGCACATATTAACCAAATTAATTAGAGAGAGCAAGAGAGGGAAGCGGGGGGGAGAGAGAGAGAGAGAGAGAGAGAGAGAGAGAGAGAGAGAGGGGGAAATAAAAAAAAGAAAATATAAGTTTACGTGTTATTTTCAACAGTAATCTATATAAAAATCTTTGTTATAAATTCGCTCGTTTTCGTAAAATACATGAAAGTAGAAATGTCAAAATCTCCCACCTGTGAGTGTCTTGTTAAACTCATCCAAAGCGAAGAAATCCCATGTCCCGGTTCATCATCCTCTGAAGAATAACGAATCAACGAAATAACTCGGAAGATTAAATCAATGAATAGAAACGATTATACACGTTCTCTTTAACGTATATCGCGTTCGTTTGTCACTTCTCACAACTGAATGTCGACGAAAAACTCAAACTCGAAAACGAAACCAAAGGACCCTCAGGACACGGCCAATTGTACTGTGTAATGTTTACCGCCTGGCCATACCGAACGGCGACGGAAATCATCGATCATGGCCGAAGTGCTGTGCTCGACCCTGCCCCACCACTCTGGCTATCCCCACCATTGTGACAACGGCGGCGACCTACAATTTAGGGCGAGTAAGTGCTTTTCGCAGCACGTGGAGGCAGTTGTCGTGGTTTCGGACGACCCCGCAGTATAAGTACGACGAAGAACACTGACAGAAGGAGATGTAGATATCTCCGATCTATAGGGACGCGTCCATATTCTACACACGCGTACGTGACGCCACAACACATTACGATAAACTTGGTTAATCACGGTTTTTTTATCAATGATGAAATAATCAAAATATGACTCAACTTCGGATTTTTATTTTTCATGCCTTACATGAAATTAAAATTAAAATTAAAATTTGAAATTTTTGTTTACAAGAACCTCTTTATTAATGTTTCATAAAGATATCAAAATATATTATATATGTACATATATTATTGGATACATAATGAATTTAATATTAAATATATTATGATATAATAACATTTCGATAAAAATTTATTTATAATGAATTTGAGTTGTAGTATAATTATAATATTAAAACGTAACATCACATTTACGCCCTATTTTATAGTAGCCATTGTTAATGTATATTTAAATGATATACAAATATTAATATATCATCATGAACAGACTGAAAGGAGTACATATTTAAGTTTTATAATTTTTAATGTAATATATACATAGATGTATTTTTAGAGACACAAAGAATCGAATATTTTGATTCAAAAGTAAAGAATAACAGCGAATAGCTCTTTCGCGCAGTATGTACATATGTATGTACATATGTATGTACTTATGTATGTATAGATACGAAGATGGTGACACATCGAAAAGAAACATTTACTAATAGTGTGGAGAGGCAGTCTACTTATTTGATACGTGCATTATATATGTAACAATCCGGCAATAAAATGTGCAGAAGGTTAAATCCAATCGATACAAAAATGTTCATACTGGTACATTCATGATTGATACATGTAATATTTCTTTCTTTCCTTAAGCTTTCATTAATGCTTCGAATGACCTTCCTTTTAGTTTTATTTCTTTACTGTATATTATATTATTCTTTAATATGATAAAGTACGCATATCATTTCCATCTTTATCTTTTATTTATTTATAATAAAGTTCTTATTATCACTATACGAACTTAAATTTCTAATAATTATTTACATACGTTTTAATTTAATTATAAATAAGTAACGCGATTGGTTTAACGATTATTTTAAATAATGATATAAAAATATTCAAAAATTGAGGTTATCATCTGAGTATGTATTAGTGTGTAATTAGTTATGAATGAGCAAATTTCATTCGATCTCGCGATGATTATGTCTGGGACAAGTGTCGTGCGCTATAACGATATTACTTTCGAACAGAGGAGAGCAATGACCCACTGCGAGCGGTGCACGTGTGCCGTGGAGAAACCACGACAGCTGCCTCTGGACGGGGCATTGGACGCCGCGTGCGGTGGCAATAGCGGCAACAGCAACTACTGTACGTTAATCCTATTCTTTTTCCGTGTAGTTGTGTCCCTGAACTATGCTTTGGCGATGGATAGGTGATGGTAGTAATGATAGTAGTAACGACACCGTTTGTGGTCTAATTTAACGATATTAAAACTACACGGAATGTGTTTAGATTATTTAGATTCGTTTCATTCGTTGATTTTACGAAGCGATAAATAACCTCTAAATGAAATCGAATATTAAAAACCATTCAAAAGATTTCAATTTTTAAAGTGTTTGTAACTAATGGCGTGACAACAACAGTTCTTCGTCGATATAGGAAAATAGAAAAATAGGAACATTTATTAACCTTGAGGAATTAAGACCTGAACATCTTAAATGAGAAATATTCTACATCTATTGGTATTAGATCGATTTTATCGTTGATAATTTTTGGTACAATTTTATAATACTATACATAGATAATTTGTAAAAACAATTTCCGGACCTTTAGTTACATTGTTTTCAAGACCGAAAGAGAGATTGAGTACTATGAAATTTGATAGAGTGCAATTATTATTGTGCATTTACATTTTTATTATGAACAAAGGTGATAATAGATACGCTAAGGTATTATGTAATTCGTTAATCAATGATAATATTAAAATGTATTTGAAGGATAAAATACGTCAATGTTGTAACACGTGAATGCAGATAAGATTATCGTCTAAAAGTTTAACCGTTCTGTGCAACTGCACGATATTTTCTTTCGATATCTTTAACATACTATGTCCTTACACGTCTATCTTTCCTCCTCAGTTAAATAGTTGAATATCATTGTTTCTCAGATAATAACATTAAAATTTTATCTTTTAATTAACATATTCGAATTTAACTTTTCGTAATGTTATTAATGATTAAACATACAAATATTAATTATACATTGGTATCAAATATAAGCTTAATAAGTGGTCATTTGATATAAAATTCAAAAAGATTCATAAAAATTATTAAATCAATGCACGATGTTATAGAGGCACGTGGGTTACACGCATACGGAACTCCGCGCACACATACGCGCGCGCATTGTAATCGCCGGGGGATCGCGGAAGTTAACAAAGGTTCCAAAACGTCGAAACTAGACGAGTTTCAATGTTACGTGCTAGTGGTGCGTGGGTTAGCTTGAAGGCGGGGGGGGGGGGGGGTAGAGAGAAAGGGAGAGCGGAAAGAGATAGAGATATACATGGTGGAATTACTATTGTGGTAACAATCAACTTTAGAGAGATGTACCTTGACCAATCTTAACGCGGCACGTTTTAAGATATATCAGTGGCGACCTTAGATGCAAGCACACACTCGCGCGCGTACACACAAAGTCATACTGAATTCAAAATACGAAAGGAAGAGAAAACACAATTTAATGCCTTTTTGTTTTTATTGTGACAATGCTTGCCAATAGTCTTGTGAATCGAAAAGTTATACTAAATAAAGAACTCAACAAAGAATCTGTTCGTTATTATAAAATAATATCGATACATTACATTAGTTGTATACATAAAATATACAGATGCGAGTTGACAAGAGGAGTATAATGCATTATATAATCTATACATCTGTAGTACACACACGCGCGCGCACACATACGCGCTCACACACACACACAGTATGATTGTACTTTTTCATTACATAACAATGTAATATATGCCAACTACGTTACTCTGTATATTATTCCAATTTTAATATTCGAACTGTTCCAAAGCTGGGTATGAATACGAAAATAATATTGTTTAGCTCCCTTTTCAGTATTTATCTTTTTAAAATAATACATGATTCAAATTAATAATTATATAATAAAAAAACGTTGAACTTGTCAATGAACTGCTTTCATCTTCTGATTTCGATGGTTTTTAAATAGGTTATACTTTCGAAATAGCACCTGAAGCCGATCGACAGGACTTTTGGAAGGGAATGTGAGAGAAAAGGAAGGGTGAACTGCAAATATAAAATTTTAACTTCGGGAATTCAATAGTTTTCGAAGGATATTAATAAAGAGTTTTTGAAGAATTATTTACTGTCTACTTGCATATATGTATGTATGTAAGGTCGGGGTATATCATTTAATCCGGTCTCCAAGAGCAGTCAGTCAAACGCTATCGTAACATTATATCGCTGATGCTTAAAACGAGAGAAGAGATTTTGCATCGGAGAGCTCTATAGATCTTAATTGTTGCTCTGCCGTCGGCTATCTAATAGTTGACAACAACAATACTACTTATTACAAAGAATGATGATTGTATATTGTAACGTCTGCTGTATAATATTTGTATAAGCAAAATTCAAGGTATTACTCGACAAGTTTGTTTATTAATATCTCAGGGAATATTAATTACCCGGAGCTTTAAAAGTTTTAGAAAGTGTTAGATTTCGGACACCTTTTCCCCTTTATGTCTTTCCTCCAAACCTTATGCTGATCGGTCACGAGAGCTATACGGAAAAATATCTAAATAAAGATTTAAAACAACTTTTTCTTTTCTACATAAGGGTTAGTTTGTCTTAGATTTCGAAATATTTGCAAAAACTTTCTACATTGTACTCTTCCTATAAGTGCACGCTTGTGTTTTGAAGATTTTCATATGTCAATGGAACCTTCAAAAAATCCTGTTTAAGTCCACTTTTCTAACGAGATTATACGTTATATGTATATGCATGTATATACGTGTATGTATTGAGTTGTCAGCCATTGTGGAGTGTTTTTGAGAAACAGTAAATATATATGTGGCGAATTTATGACGATGTACACATACACTGGTACGAGCGTGCATGTATAGACAGAGTACGATTGTATAATGTTGAAAGTTATTTGCAAATAATCTCGAAAGCTAAGACCAAATGGCAGTTATACACATACAAAAAGTTGTTCAAAATATCGAGTTTTATAACACATCCAAAAATCATCAAAATCGAAGGAGATTATCCTTCTATGCATAATTACCTAAATTTCTTATATTTATATAGGGTGCGGTATTTAAATCGGAACAACCGAATATCTTGATTATCATTATATTATATTTTATCATATACACTAATATAATATTTTATTGAGATTAAGGATTATAAGAACACATTTTGAAAAAAATGTAAGTTCTCGTTTGAAAAAATGGAGTTGAACTTCGAATGGTCTTGAAATTATTCATAAAATTAAAGAACATTAATGCACTTCTCTTCCCTCCTTTGAACGGAATAATTTTTATCTGAAACATTCTTTCCATATAATGATTTATTTTCCAGATATTCGGTTGTTTCAATTTAAATGCCGTACTCGGTACATGCATTTGCTTTAATAAGTAAATAATAAAACTTAATTAATAAAAAATTATATTTTTTATCATATCACGCATATTATGTTATTGTTATGTTATTGTTATATTATATTAATCAGAATTACTTATGTCAACAATTTATATTTTTAATGCTATCACTTATTACAAAATTACAAAATTTCTCATATATAAAATTTATAATTCATTTTATGAATGTGTTACATATAATTTTATGAATGTATACTTCATAAGTTGTCTAAAAGAAATGATGAAAATAAAGGAAAAATAAAACAAATAAGATATTTTATTATGTTATAAATAATTTTATATTAATTATAATAACTATTTTTAAGAAGTTTCATATTTTTATATAATATGCCAATAATTATGTTACATATACTTTCAAATTAATTACTTTAAGAAAATTTGATTAATTCTTTTGTATCTCTTGTATATCACATATAAATATATACGTCTAATATGATGTAACTAATATAATTATAAACATATTTATAAAAAATGTGTTCTAATTAACGAATTATAGCGAAGAAAACAGATTAATAAATCGAAATGACGATGATGTCCTTTCTAATATTTTAAACTACGAACAAACTTGCTTTTATTGTTTATTCATTTTATTGTTTTACTATTTTATTATTTTATTACATTTTTCATTTGATTATTATATAATCGATTTAAATATTCTTAAATAATAAAATAAATTTATTGAAGATTACTTTTTAAAAAGATTATTAGAAAATTATGTTGAACAAATTAATTTCCACTTGTAAAGTTACTCTACTTTTATGCAATTAAGATGATATTATTGGTAAAATTATGCAAATCATTTAAAAATATACCTATTTATTAAAACTCTTAACGTTAAAAAATAAATGATATAAATTCTAGATGTCGCTTTTGTACAGGTATTTTTAAATATTTGCAATGAATTTTTCTTCCAAAGAATAAAAATTGTTATTTTAAAATAAAAAGCTTTTCTTTTAATTAAGAAATTAATTTCTTTTGTCTCTATTCTTTATTTAATTTTACTGTTGTCATATTTAATACAATTATGTAATAATGTCAATTGTTAAAAAAATTAAACAAGCTTGAAAAACTTATTATTCTTCCGTTAATATACTTCTGTAAATAACACTTAACCACTAATTTGGTAACAAAATCAAATTTGATAATATCAATTATTTCGAAATCCAATAAATATTATACATACACATCTTATCTATGTTATTTTATATTCTCTGATTTTCATTAAAAGAATGCAATTATGATACAAAGATTTCGGGATATTGTAATCTCCATAGTTATATTATATATAAATTTGTAATAACATAGGTATCCATGTGATAGTGTAATGAATTTAAAAAATGGGAGATAATAAATTAACGTTATTAACTAATCCTTGGGATACATTGTCCACAGTAACTACATTTGACAGGGGTATATAATATAACCTTAAACTCGTATTCGTTTCTAAAATATGTTAGTAGTGTCAGTTATAGTATTTAAAAAGTATAATATTTTTTTTAATTGTTTTCATTATTATTTATTCATTGTATTATTTGGAATGGTAACATAATTTGTTTAGCCATTTTTGTGAAAAAATATTGTTTTGATTAAAAACAGAAATTGTGCAAAAATAGATTTTTAGATAGTGAATTGTTTATTGTTTGATATAATAGTTACAAATTTTAAATAATTTTAATTAACTCTATTACTAATATATTATTATGTCTTTCTTATCATTCGTGTGTTGATTTATTAGGTAATAATGTAAAATCTACAATATGTTTGGATAATGAAAGTAAACAAAATAATGGACAAACTGTAAGCATAATTACAACCTCTACTAGTCTTTTAATTGAATCACTTATTCAACAACTGTGTGTATTATTTGAAGAGGATTTGGTATGCAGAAATAAATTATATTTTGGTAATATATTGAAACTTTTATTAAAAATTATTTTCGATGTATTTTTGTTACTATAAAAAAAGTTTTTATATTTATATGATTTCAAAATGAAATGTAATAGTTTTAAATTAAACATGTACATTTCTTTTTATCATAAAATTGTTATTTTTTAGGAAATATAGTAATTAAATAATAATAATTTCTATTTATTTTACTTTTTTTTTTTAATAGTGATAGTATTTATTTATTTCAACCTTTGTGATCATGAAATGAGCTTGGTTTACATCTATAATCTTAATCTAGACACATTCATCTGTTTTATCTTTATTCATATCCAAATTTGCTTCTATTCACATTTTCACTTCTTTGTTTCTCATTTCTATCTATTAGCTAGCAGCCATACAATCAACTTACAGTCTTCAAAAGTCAGAGATTCCTGGAACAATGTTTCCTAATTTATAATTGCAATGTTTTGTTTCTACACAATTCTCTATGATATACTTTAATGTACCCCATTCTTCCCAATATTTCTCATATAATCTGCTTTCTTCATACATCAAATATCTATTTCATACATCTAAATTTTCATGTTTAACTCCCTTTGTCAGCCTCCAACTTCTGCTCGATCCTCGTTTATTCAAGTATTCTGGTTTTGTTTCCATTCTGATATATTTGTATCTTTCATTGTATACTCTGATTTTATTGCATTGCTTCTGGCCTTGCACCTCTTGATCCTTTCATTCAATTATCTATATACCACTTTGCCTCTATAAGCTATTTGTTGTCTTAAACCTATCTAACTATATAACTATTTTTTTAAAATGTAAAACGTAAAAGTTCTCTTTTTCCTTTGCATTTTTCCGACTCATTCTACCTTCCTTTTTTTCTTGTAGACACTTTTTAATTGTTCACTTTTCTTTTGTTAATTTAAGCTTTCCCTCATATACCCTTACTGTTGCTTTTGATATAATTCTTAATTTGTTTCCTTTAACTTCTTCCAATACTAGATAACTAGGTGTATTCTGTTCTAGACTTAGGTACCCCCTTATATACTCTAATTAAACTGACTTTATTACCAGCCTTTCCATTCATTCAAACATTCCTATTCAATACGATATCTATATTATTATCCTTGAATAAAAATATTTTTTGTCTATAATCATTCTAGAATAAACTTACTCCTATTCCATCCTTTAACGTCCATTTTTCTTTTTATTTGCATTTTAAAATTTATATTTTGTTAATGAATTAATAAATTTTGAAATAAATGACAAAGTAATTTTTATATTTATTTTTAGCTATTTGCGATAAACTTCACGAATTAAAACTAATTGATAGTTCATACAATATGATAGAATTGGAGCCATTAAGAGATCAATATCAGCAAGCACTGTATCATTTGTTTACAGTTACACGTGCAACGTTTGGTTGCCAAAATATATCACAGATTTCTAGGTAAAATATAATACAAATTATGTTTACTTATTATTGTAAAAAAATGATATTATGTTTAAATATTTATTTCTTACAGACCTCTAATGACAGAATGGTCCAGGTATCGTAGAGACTTCCAAGAAATAACTTTTATTGCAGCTGGTGGATTTGGTAATGTCTTTAAAGCATTACATCGTCTTGATGGTATAGAATATGCTATTAAAAAAATAATAGTACGTTCTGGTCGAATTAAAAATATATTGCAACATCTTGAAGAAGTGAAAACTCTTGCTAAATTAAATCACACCAATATAGTTTCATATAAAGGTGCATGGATAGAACCAATATTACCTTCTACTTTTATACCATGTTTAATATCCTCAAATCACACACAGACCAAATTAAGTTCTATAGAACATAGAAAAGGAAGTGGATACAAGTCATGTATAAATCAAATATTTAACTCACAAAGTCAACAGAGTATTGAAGTAAATGTTAAGAGCAGTCAAAGTCTAAAAGAAAGCAATGAAGAGGACATGTTGTCACAATATAGTAAACAGATAAAATATAGATTTGGTATGTGTAATTATGTTAAATAATTAGTAATTAATCATGATATTAATAATCTCATGAATTGAATGTATTATCTATTATAGAAGAAGAAGTGGTAGAACAAAATATTAAAAGTGATACAGAGAAAAGTAATTCAAATAGTATAACTTTTAGAAGCAATGCTGAACATCAAAGTAATAAAACAGAAAATAATACAAATTATTCTGATGGAAGTAATTCATACAAAGAATGCAGTAAGAATAAGAGCCTGTTACCATATATACCTCAAATGGTATGTATAAACGCACGCGCATACTTGCATATACACGGAATATATCCATGAAATTATTATATCATTTATAATAATACAGTTTTTAATAATTAATAATTTTGCGACTACTATACAAGGAACACATAAAAAAAAATCTATCATTATTATATGCGTTAACTGAGCGTATATTGCCTATTAGTGATGGCGATTAAGCATAGCTACGGCACTGCTTGCGCGAAACAAAGGAGCGATAACTGCTTGGCGGTAAAGGACCATATTAATGTTTCCGATAGATATTTTCTTAATCTATGAAAATTGAAAAATATTTTGATAATTCTGTTGAACGACTTCTTCTTCAGATATATCTGTAGAATCCCGTACTATATAGCAAATTCGTGCTATATAAAAACATTTCGTTAATATGTAAAAATAGTACGCAGAATCTATTTACATAGGTGTTTTTTTTGAACTTAAATGATTATTTATATTAATTTAAAGCTTTAAAATATTATAATCATAGATACTGAGGTACTCAGGGCTCTCCTTTCTACTGTTTGAGACAATTAGAGCTTCCTAACATTTTTAGTTTTCACGCGATACTTCATGTTTGTTAAAAATAGGAAAGTTTTACAAATATTCGAATTTTTTTCGAGAACTGACGGTGATACGGTAATTTTGCTTATGTATTCATGTTCAAAACAAATAACTCTACAAGAATCATCCAATATATATTGCAGAAAAGAAGAAAAAGGTAAAATTTATTGGACAGTGTTATTTGACCTTGAACAGTTTTATGAAGATTATATTCATATATTTAATAGTATTTTGAAAATATCTTAATACTAGCTAAAGATGTGGGTTTCATTTAAAAATGTGAATGTGATCTTCATAGGGCTTTCCAAGGTCATCTCAACATCAAACAATTATCACCATTATATGTTCTTTTTGACATTCTATAATCCTTATTTGACATATCTTTTTTGTATTTTTTTGTATTTTCAAAATCTTGTATAGACACTTAAAATAAACATATAATAGACATAACAGACGCACGCGCACGCAATATGCCTATTTTAAGTGTCTATATATATATGCATATACAAGGTGTCTCCGAAAGTTGGTATCAAACTTTATCTTTACTTTATATTTACTTTATATCAAACATGTAGTACACATCAAAACAAGTAAAAGACTTTTAATAACCATGGCCCTAATTATAGTAAAGTCTTTCTTTTCTGGCTTTTATTAAACCATTTCGATGAATACTAAGATTTATCAATACCAGTTGGTAAAAGATTGTTTTGTTTAATTACCAGTGTGCATTTTAAGTAAATATATGGGGCATGGATATTTGAGAGTCTGAAATTGAGACTGTGTGAACCACAACAGTGTAAGTGAAAAAACATTAAAAAAGAAATTATAATTAAGCTTATCTGACATCATAAAGTAAAACCTAATCCAAGTCAAAACAGACTTTTACCAATTGGTGTTGGTAAATCACATTTAACATTTATTAAAATGGTTTGATGAAAACTCATAGTGAAAGTGTTTATAAACTTTTTGGAACTTTTACCATCTTACTATAGTAAATATGGAAATTTTATGGAAAAGCTTAGGATTTACTTAAATTAATTACTTAAATTACTTATCTTTATATATGGCTTCTAATTGATAAATACTCTACAACATTAAAAGATTTGTTCATCTATTATATATAAAATTTCAAATATGTGAATTTAAAGAGTGAGAAATACACAACCTTGTATATTCAAATGGCCCTTTGTGAGAAAACACTTCAACAATGGCTTGATGAAAGAATGGAGATGACACCACAGGCAATGATCATTGCAATATTAACACAAATTCTGTGTGGTTTAGATTATATACATTCTCGTGGAATTGTGCATCATGATATAAAGGTAATGAAAAAAAGGAGGTAACAATTAGAGAAACATATTATGAACTTTCATTTTATTTCTTAAAAATATGAATAATTTCTTACTACACGTTAGCCAAGCAACATATTCATTTCCACATCAGGACAGTTACAAATACAGTTAGGAGATTTTGGTTTAGCTTGTCCATTACAGAGAGAAAATCATCATTCAATACTTGGAACACATATGTATGCAGCACCAGAACAACTACAAGGAAAATGTGATCCTAAGGTATTGCTTCTGCTTTTCAATACTATATTAATTTTAAGAAATATTTTGAAATAATTTCCATTTTTTCAGAGTGATATATATAGCCTTGGCATAGTACTTTTAGAGTTGTTGGTACCTACGAGAACTCATATGGAAAGGATTGAAATAATTAATAGTTTGAGAAAAGGACAAATACCAACAACATTAACTGCCACTTATCCTAAATGGGTATGTATTTACAATAAGATGTTATTATAGTGAGACTAGAATACAAAGAAATTCAATTTTTATTAGGCACATATAGTAAGTCAATTAGTTCAAGAAGACCCTGAGAAACGGCCATCAACAAATCAATTGTTACAAGAATTAAACGAAGATAAAGATATGATTATAGCACATTTAAAAAATGATATTACTGAAAAAAATGATCTCATAAAAAAGTTACAAGAAAAAATATTATTATTGGAAGAACGAATCGATAAACGTAATATATCGTTACGTGATATATAAATTTTTATAGTACTACATTTAAAGGATATTTTTTACAAAAAATTATAACATTATTTTCAACTTTAAAAATTGATTTTTAAAAATTAATAAGAAAAAAATAATTTTAGCATGTCTACACTTTTACTTCCACTAGAATACAAGATAAATATATTTATAAGGTGTTATCAAGTAATTCAACTGTATATCTGTTACGTTTAATTTTTATTTTAAAATAAAATATTTCCATATATTATTAGTTTATAATTTGATTTTTATACAAACAGTATAAATATCTGTATTTTATACAAGTATATATATATATAGTATTTGACAACAATTTTATTTATGAAAACAAAAGTATTGCAGAAAAATATTTATTTACATAATATCTCAAAAAAAGAATTACAAACTTGTGTAACATTGTGATAATTGAAATAAAAATATGGCTAACCGTTTTATAACATGAAGTTATTTAATCTTATTATACACAGTTTTCATAAAAACTATATGTGTAACAACTATTATAGCCGTATTATATGTCTCTAGATTGGTGGAGATTTATTAAAAAATTTTTGTACTAAATTGTTCTTGACCACTTTTTTAACACGTTCGTCGCCGTCACCCAAATATGAG